GAGGGGGGGAAGGGGAAGGGGTATAGGGAGTGGGGAGAAGCGGCAGCAGCATGGATACAGTTTGCAGATGCCCAGCCTCAGTACAGGTCCCCATTGGTTAGAGGCTTAAAACTTGCCACAGCAATGGAGCAGGGGACCTGGGAAAAGTGGCAGTGGCATGAAAACAGGTCCCAGCTGTCTGACTAGTGCAAATGGGGAGTGGGGGAAGTCCCCTGGCAGTGTCATACTGCCAGTGCCATCAGGCAGTATGCCTGGAAGCTGGGAGGGTGGAGAGAAGGTGGCAGCAGCACAGGTGAAACTGAAAGTTGTACAGTCACAGCACAGCACCTTGCTCCCCAGCCCTGACTTGGGTATGGGCACAGGCACAGGCAAAGCCCTCTATCTGTGTGGGCCAGATTCAGCCCATGGCCTGTATGTTGCCACCCCCTGCCTTACTGTGCATGTGCAGTGGTGTCCAGCCTGGGGCTCAGGGATAGCTTATGGTCATTGAAGATAACTGTGCTAAACCTGTTTTTGCTCATCAACTGGTAATGTGTTCCCAATGTCATACCCTTGCAAATATTTGAATTGGCTTTGCTACCTCCTCTTCAAAGGTCTCCCACCCTCCCTGCTCCTTCCCAGCACCAGAAGCAATTCTTGTCTTGGGAAAGAAAAAGTTAAGGGCCAGTCGTCATTTACAGCTCCTGATTCTCCACCCCAACTTGGCCCCAGGTTAGAGTAGCATGGGAGGATAACCTAATTTATACCTCTGTGATCCCTGTGAACCATATGCCATCTGGAGATAGGTAGAACACTTGAACTTTTGCCAGTTCCACTTTCTGTAACTAATACAGTCTTTGCTTCAAAGGTTGCAAGACGCCTGTGAAAACTTTTTGAAACTCTTCTGATACTGGAAGTCAAAACCATTTTTGAAAATTTTATTTGCATCTGTTTTGCATCTAATGACATTTTGACTAGATGAAACAAGTCAGCAAAGTGACTTGCCCGAGATTAGTGTAATTCAGCAACTGCACCTAAATTAACATCTGAAACATTTTTGGCCTCTTAATTTTTGCTGTCCGATGATTTTTTTTTGTTATATGTTCTAGAATCATAGGTTTGAACTATGTGGAAAATAACATAAGTGATGCTTGAGGAATTTTACACTTTCAAAGGTCTTTGTGAACACAGATCCTTACAACACCTCTAAATTTATCTAGATCAGGGGAAAGACTGATTGACTTGTTGAGGCCAGGCAGCGAATCTATGGCAGAACTTAGTTTATAAATCTGAAATTCCATGGTTCTAGATCTATTTTCATTCCTTTAGGCCACTCTGCCATGTAAGTCTGAGCTTCCTTGTAGAGATACACATACAAGACAATATTTTCCCATCACTATGTGGTTATCAAAAAGATAGAAATTATACTGAGTGTATTACTTAGGCACAGAATATTGCAGTGCATGGAAACAATGCTTGTGTCTTTTTGTCTTTACAGATAAACAAAGAACTATTTGCTCTCTTTGGAATGAAACAAATAGTAATGTCGTACCCTCGGGTGGAGGACACAAATGAAAGAACATGCAAGAAAATCAAAACCTTTCTTAACAAATACTGCATGGACCATCCAAATGACTGGGATGATCATTTATCTGCTATTGCCTATGCTTTTAACTTGACACATTTGGTGTGTTTAGGCTCTGTCTATATGTTGCAAGTTGTGACTGAAGTTGGTTACAGAGTTGTATGCTAAGTTTGCCTTTTTTCCCTTTAAATAGGAGCTAGCCCCAAACACACCTTATTTCCAGATGTTTAATCGGAAACCATATATATCAGAGATTTCAAACATACCACAGGAAGTTGAAGAAGATAATAAATGTATGTTTGCCAAAATACTTGAAGCAGTTAAACAAACTAATCAAATATTGGAGGAAAGGAAAGCTACAGATTGCCAGGTAAATCTTATGCTTAAGTGCTATCATCGAGACAACTGAAAAGACATTACATGATCATTCTGGACATGTAATTTAAAACAAACACCTGAAGAACATTAGGTATACTTGATGAGGAATTAACTGATGGATTAATTGACTTCTTGCGTACTCTTCCACCCCTGTATTTCTGTGAAAATAGTCTCAAAGATCTTTTTGGTGTACTACTTCTGCATGCTTCCTTACAGGCTCCGTGTTCCTTCAATATTAAGAGGAATTGCATACGTTTTAGGAAATAAGCTTTGACATATCTTGTTTGTTTCTGTAGACAGTGAAAAATGCTCAGGATGAACAGCAAACGGGAAATAAGTTCATTATTAAAAGGAAACCAAAGCAATTAAATCCACTTCACCTCAAAGTTGGACATGAAGTACTTAGACAAAAGAAGAACTGGTGGAAAGATGGCCGTTTTCAATCAGAGTGGGTTGGTCCCTGCATTATAGATTATATCACAGATAATGGGTGTGCAATACTACGTGATAACACAGGGTCCAGGTTGAAAAGACCCATCAAAATGTCTCACCTTAAGCCATATATAAGAGGATCCAGTGATCAAGGTAAGCCTTTTATTTTTCTAACACCACGGTCTAGCAGAAGAGGGGACAATGCCAACCAAATACACCAGTGTTAATTACAAAAAGTCTTTATAGTTATTAATACCTTTATAGTAAATGTTTGGGTAGGGTCTGGCCTGCAGACAGAACTAAGGAATCGTGTTTAAACCCTGTTTAAAAATAGCTTCTATTAAACTGACTTCTGACAGAGTTTGGCTCTCTTCACGGTGGCTGGTGAAAACAGATTAACAGTAAAATTAGGCTGAACTACATTAAAAAAAATAAATGTTCTAATTTTGTTTCTGTCCTGCTGTGATCAGAATCAAGTGTGCTGTAATTAGGATTTGTGTTCATGGTAAAATGGAATTTAAGATAGTTTTCATATTTTGAGAAATGTGGTCCTTTTGGCTAATGCAAGATGGTGCTTCTTAATGTATGAATGTTTCTAATGCTGTAATAAGACACCTGTAATGCAAAATCCAGTTCAGGGGACTGTTTCTGGGGGATTGTAGCGATGAGATTTCTGTTTATATATCTAAACCTTAAAATCTTATCTTCTACTCTTTAATAGTGAGTGCTACTGAAAATTCCCACATGCCTTCCCAATCTCTACCCTTTATGTAACATGTTCAGCTGCAGAAAAGAACTGATATGCATTGCTTGTTGTAATCAGAAAACAGGTTTTTTTGTTGTTGTTGTGTTTTTTTTTTACCACTTGTACTATCGCTGAGTCACCTAACATGACATTTGGAAAGTAGTGAATAGCTAAGCTCTTTGCCAGAGAACATAGCTATTGAGCTTAGTCTATTTGTTTTTTAAATGCCATGCTATTAGGACATGTGTACAGAACCTGTTGTTAAAAATGCACTAGTGTCATTTTTTTTAAAAGCTGAGGAACTTAGAAAAGTAACCTAAAACCAACTTTTGAACTTTTTGGCTAGGAACAGAAATTGCACATAAACCAGAATAGGGGATTAAAAACCAGTCTAAACCTGTAAAAGAACAGAAGTTGAGTGCACATAGATTGGTTTCAAAATGGTGGAACCCAATTTAAAATAGATCTGGATGGATGTAGTATCAGATTTATTCAGTTTAGGTTAAAATGTTCTGTTGAACTTCTGTGCCAGATCCCCTCCCAACACAAGTTACCTTGCAGTCCGCTAGCATCCCAGGATGCTTTGCACCTCCCCGCTTGCAGGGCAGGTGGGTTAGCCTTGGCCTGCACTTCAGCTTATCTGTCCCTGGCCTGTCACAGAGCTGAGGCAGCAAAGCCTCTACTCCCCAGCCTTGTGTCATGCCTGCATCTGTCAGCTGGGCTGTGCAGAGTGGGGAGGGAGCTGAAACCCACACCCTTGCCCCCCCAACACAGCCAGAATCACTGGGGGGTGCACCGCGGGGGCTTTCTCCGCTCCCACACTGACTGCCCCGGCACCACTGCATTCCCTAGCCCCAGCCCCTGCCATTTGTTAGGGTCTGAGGGGGGGAGAATGAGGGGGAAAACTGAGGACCCCATTCTTGCCATGGCCCCCCCTGACCCAGCGAGAACTGCTGAAGAGGGAATGCACCACAGGGGTTTTCTCTGGTCCCCTGCTGACTGTCCTGGCATGGCTGCATTCCCAAGCCCTGCCCGCTGTTAGGGGCTGGAGGGTAGACAGTAAGCAGAGGCCCGTGCTCCTGCCACAAGGGCTTTTTTGGCTTCCCCACTGGCTGTGCTGATGCAGAGGGCCAGTCAGCTGGGAAGCAGAGAAAGCCCTCATGGTGCCACTCCCAGTGATTCTGCCTGAGTCAGGGAGGGGGCCCGGGTGGGAGTGGACGCCTCCACTTTCTCTCCCATGCGGGGTGGGGAGGCTAGGGTGAGATTCTCTATTGGCTCTCCCCCGCCCTGAGGCTGACAGCAGGGAGTGGAGGGGAGGTGTGTGTCGGGGCCAAGGGGCTGTGGCCAGCAGCCCGGGCACGTGGGCCGGTGAAGTCGGCACGGCGGACTAGAATTAGGCACTGATGCGTGGAGGTTGATTAAAGATTGTTTTACTTACACCGTAGATGGTCGTGGTGCAGGCAGGAAAACTTGCTTGGTTACAGTTGTAGATAGAAGAAAAGAAGAAAACTCGAACGATGAGAGCTCTCTGAACCGATACGAGAGTCCGAGCTGTGACTCTCAACGAGCGTGAAGGGTAGGGATACGTCAGGGATCGTTCAGTGACGGGGAGAGACTCTTGATGGGTGATCAAGCCACCATTCGGTCCGAGATTTACATAGAAATCCACGAGGTAATCGCGGACTCCTTGCCGGAATTCTCTCGGATTTCTCCTGGAATTCTTGGAATTGGGGTTCTCAGGATCCTCCTGAGATTCTCGGAGATCTCCGACTTGGGCGGAAACTGCTCAAGTCTCTT